CAGTGAAATCAAGTTGTTTAGGTTAAGTCATATCTTCCTAGTCCTACCAAAGGTCTTGAGAAGATGATTCATGCTTTCATTTCCTCTCAGTTGGACTGGAACTAATGACTGAGAAAGTTGGAGGACAAAGACTGTATGGACATGTCCAGAGGAGGGACAGAGGCTATACTGGTTTGAACATGTGAAATATTATTTAAATATTATTAATTTAACAACACAACTGCTCATCAAGCATCAACACGCGCATTATGAAGGTCTTTATATTTAAAAAGATCAATATATGATTTTTGTTGTAGCTAAAAATACTTGAATATTAAAAACCTCAAGACTGATATTTATACAAACAAACTGGTCAACAAAACAGAATCTGTGAAAACTGTCATTTATATTTCATATTTCATTATTAAATATATTACACTTTTCATAAAGTCTGCTCCCTAATATAAACAATTTGCTCATTAAAATCCCCAAATGTCCTGTTTTAAAATGGTAGAATAATACAGTATATTATGCAGCTGATATGATGGGATGTAAAACTATTATTAATTTATTATTAGGCCCAATAAGCATGGTTCTGGAGCAGATTCTGTAGTTTGTGGCTGCTTGAAAAATAACTTTGGGCTTTGGTCAGATAAAAAAAATCAGAGGGCTATTATTTATTTATTTATTTTTGGCTCTAGAGAAGGATGAAGCTGACAGCGGACTGAGGTGTTTATTTATATGAGACGTGTTTCTTGCTCGCGACGCGACTCAAACAGGACTGTCATTTTAAGAAAATAAAGTGTGGGGTACACTGTTTATCATATCTCTGGTTCTACTTCACCTAACAACACAACTGAATAAATGGTTTAAAGTTTGAGGTCTCTACTTTTAGCTCAAATTGAAACAGTCTCAGAGAAGGTGCACCTTCCTGGTTAGAGCGGTTTAAATGGACCATGTGATGCACAGGCTAACGATATCAGTTAATTGGTTGGAACATTTTTTAATCTAATATATTATTCGATGCATCACTAATTAATATTGTTAAATTCCAACAACTAAACAAACAAACAGCCAATTAAAACTAGGGGTGTCCCGATACAACTTTTTCGCTTCCGATACGATACCGATATTGACCCGATACCATATCAGTATGAATCACACACTTTTACCTATTTTGTAGTGTAAAATCTTAGAAAAGTCTTGATCAAATCAAAGAGTGAAAAAGAGTAGCTATGAGAAGCCACAAATCCCAGAAGAGTTGAAAAGAAGGTGTCGTGGATGCAGAGCAGGAGCAATGAGGCAAAAGAGAAGAAGGAAGTTCAAACCATCTCTTCCATCAATCCTAACACATTAAAAAATAAATCCATATAATCGAGTTGAGATCTACAATCAACTTCTGGAGGAGCAGGGAAAGGAGGACGAGGAGATCTAAGGAACTTATTTCTATTCTAGCAGCAGAGAGAGTTGGGAAATGGTTATACAATTTTTATCTTTTTTTACATCCTACAGGCTCTGGGACATCAAATAAATTGAAGGATTTAAAGGAAAAATCTGAGATTTGACAAATCTGTGAGATTGCCCTATACATCCATAAAATGAGGAGGAATCTGTGTAATTTACAGACAATCCATATAACTTGATATATATGTAGATTATTGGAGCACAGAGCAAAAACCAACTCTGCTGGCTTTATTTATGGATCGAACCAGATTCTGTCAAAAGGTTGTCCACTGGACAGCATGAAAATATTTCTTATGTCTATCCCTGATGTGTGACAAACCTTTGAGATTATCACTTTAAAATCAAAGGAATTTAATCTGAACATTTGAAAGTTCAAATCTTCAGGATAATTGCTACTTGCTTGTGATTTTAGCTACCATTGTAGTGGTAAGTGTGGTATGTAACTGTTCAAGACTAGTCAGTGACTGAACTGTGAGAAAAAGGCATATTTTCAGTTGTAGTCTCACTGACTCTGACTTTTTAGCAGCCAAATGACAAGCTAGATGTGGGGAAGCTAATTTGTTTTTTAATTATCACTGTTGTTTTCAGCGGAGGCAGCTTGCAAAACTGTTTTCTAAGACATGCCCATTTTTGTTGCCATTTGTGCCAACATTATACCAACCTCAGCTTGCTTTGTACCTACCTTGGCAGCCACCCTCCCATTTATTCATTATAAATTATTGTATAATACTGGAGTACTTTTTAAATATGAAGACAGATTTGGAGGAGAAACTGATGACTTTATCGCTCTACTGCATTCTTTAGTCAGTCACTATGTTACATGGTCTACAGCTGGTAGAAGAACATCCACTGCATAACCATTCAACCAAGAGCATTGTCAACCACAAGACACATTTTTTAAAATCCATTTATGACTATTGGCTTTATCTCTTTATAACAACGAAAGATAAATTATGTCACCGGTAAATATTTCTAAAATGTATTTGACCTCTATAGTTTTCCTCATAAGCCCACCCCACAATCCCAGCTTAAAGAAACAATGATTGATGCTCCTGATGTTCCAAGGGGAAACAGCAGAAACCAGTGAATAAAATAAATAAAATATGCAAAACTATAGGATAAAAACACATTCCTTGGAAAAGGATCTTAAAAAGCAATCAACTCATAATCTAACAAACAAACAAAACAAAAACACCAACAATGTTACCAGATTTCCTTTTTGGATATCTACCAAATAATCTTAAATATTCCCATCGTTTGAACCATCTGAAAATCAACATGTCCCGCACTGCCAGTCTCTCATCCTCGTCCTCCTCCAGTCTCTCATACTCCTCCTCCTCCTCCAGTCTCTCATACTCCTCCTCCAGTCTCTCATACTCCTCCTCCTCCTCCAGTCTTTCATACTCTTCCTCCTCCAGTCTCTCATACTCCTCCTCCAGTCTCTCATACTCCTCCTCCTCCTCCAGTCTTTCATACTCCTCCTCCTCCTCCAGTCTCTCATACTCTCCCTCCTCCTCCAGTCTCTCATACTCTCCCTCCTCCTCCAGTCTCTCATACTCTCCCTCCTCCAGTCTCTCATACTCTTACTCCTCCAGTCTCTCATACTCCTCCAGTCTCTCATACTCCTCCAGTCTCTCATACTCCTCCAGTCTCTCATACTCCTCCAGTCTCTCATACTCCTCCTCCAGTCTCTCATACTCCTCCTCCAGTCTCTCATACTCCTCCTCCAGTCTGTCCTTGGTGAGGTGGAATGTTCCTCCTCAGTTTGATAAGACAGTGAAGTGAAACAACCCTGTGTGTGTACTCACACAACTGAGCTGTGTGAGTACACACACAGCTCAGTAACACAACTGAGCTGTGTGAGTACACACACACCTCAGTAACACAACTGAGCTGTGTGAGTACACACACACCTCAGTAACACAACTGAGCTGTGTGAGTAC